GATTTTACTCACTGAATTACTGACTGCACACACTAACTACCATCCACCCATAATCCCCTTCTAAAGCAGTTTGCCCAGGCATGCCTTCTTTCCTAAATATATTCATCCAGCTACTCCACTATTTGAGGGACAGGGATACAGAAGAAACACAAGGCTCTACTTATCCATAAAATTCTTTTCATGCATGCATTAGCATTTATAGAAACAAAAGGGCATTTACGAGAAGACTACAGGGAATGCCTGGAAGCAATCTCTGTGAAAAGCAACGTCAAATATCATGGTTGGATTAAAACATTACCTGTTATCATAACACTAATTACTATGCAAATAGCCATGAGGATAATAATCATGTGCTTCATTCAGAGCTACACACAATCAGTACTCAAACTGATGCAGCGTCCATTGCCACAGATCTTAGTTGAGCTTTTGTATGATATATCCACACTGTTTGGGATCTCTGGAGCCTGAAGTACACACTATGTGCCATGTGTTATTAAAGCACTTGTCATACTTCTTGAAAGAAAATGATGCCTCTCCTTTTCTGGACGGAGTTTCATTGCATGAGTTCTTTGAGGTTTTGTATGTCAGCATCTGTTTTGTGTTACATATGCATATATTCCTTATATATATATATATTTATATATATATACGCACCTTGTATCTATATGTTTATGGCTTCATATTTGGAGACTTTCTTTAAAAAAATTTAAAAATAATAATGCCTTTAATATTCAATATTTCCTTGGAAAATATTATCAAAGATTGAAGCTGTTTCTTGGTTTAAAAAACATGAACCCCTGTTCCTAACGTGCTGAAAGATGTTTGTGAACTGAATAAATTCACTATACTCAGTAGAGCCAAGTCATAAATCATGGACACAGCTACCAGTTGAACTATCTAGAATTCCTTAGTATTGCAGAAGGAAGTGTAAGGCACAATGCAAGTAAGATACAATGTTTCATCTGTTTCAACCTGTTGAACTGGAAAAAAATAATTTGCGGCGGGCATCTAAGCTGCCATAATTTACCCCTTTTTTTTTCCCATGATATAACACTTGACTTTTTTCCTAGTACTCTGCTATACACCTTCATTTGATGGCTGCAGTGTGAAAACAAATGTTAGCCCCTGGGTTAGACTGCTTGACGTGACTTTTTAGGGAGTGTTCACTATTACTGCAAGAAGGTCAGGTCAGTGGTGGTAACTTTTGTTTCTATGGCTGGATGACCTTTATAAATTATTTCAGTATCTTTAGGTAGTAAACTCCACCTGGTCGCAGCCCAAATCTTGGCCCCAACAGCTTTGAAGGGTCTTTTCCCCTCTTAATAGTGGTGTATTTCAGAGGGAAGAATTTAGAGTATGTTAAATTCAATTACTGCAAGAAGGTCAGGTCAGTGGTGGTAACTTTTGTTTCTATGGCTGGATGACCTTTATAAATTATTTCAGTATCTTTAGGTAGTAAACTCCACCTGGTCGCAGCCCAAATCTTGGCCCCAACAGCTTTGAAGGGTCTTTTCCCCTCTTAATAGTGGTGTATTTCAGAGGGAAGAATTTAGAGTATGTTAAATTCAAGTAAATCCATTATTTCATCCAGTCTGTCTTCTATCTCAGAGGCTGTAAGGGTTCTCCTGACTACACATGTATGGATACCAAGATATAAGCTGGTCAGGGAGGTCCTCTCTCTTTGGTAGTAGGGGAGATCCATAATCCTTTCATGGCACTGGGAATTTCAGAGAAGCAATTCAGTTGAGGTACATTTTTTATGAGAAATAAAACCTAGTATTGTATACTAAGTGTAAGAGGAAAACCCTTGATAGATCTTGAGACACTATAAATCTTAGAAGGTTGGGGAACTAAAGAGCAGTTGCTGGCTTTGACATCCCTTCAAACAGGACATAGACAAGAAGGGGTGAAGTGAATAAAGAGGTGGGGGGAGGAGCCATGCAGTGCCTTTTTGTCATGATTTGAGCCCACCTAGCTGGCAGCAATTAACCATGCAGCTGTTCACTCACTCCCACCTCCCTCTTTTTCAGGATTGGGAGGAGAAAATTCAACAAAAGGATCAAGGATCAAGATTAGGGACATGGAGGGTTCACTCACCAGTTATGGTCAGAGGAGCCACCCCTGCACAGCTACAATGGCAGACATGGGACCATCTTTTAATCAGCAAGTGCCCCTTGGGAGCCTGTCCCTTGTCCCCATATTTGTACTTACACTCTGCAAGGGCTAATTAGAGCAATACTAGAGGCAACAGAAACTAGGAATGGAAATCCCAGCTAGACCCAAGGACAACATTCTTCACAGGGAGGGTGGCCAAACACAGGAACAGGTATCCAGAGATGCTGAGAGATCTCTGTTCTTGGGGACTGTGTGAACTTATAGAATCATAGAATGCACTGGGTTGGAAGGGACCCTTAAAGGTCATCTAGTTTAACCCTTACTGCAGTGTGCACGGACATCTTCAACTAGATCAAATTGCTCAGATCCCCATTCAACTTGACCTTGAATGTTTCCAGGGATGGGGCATCTACCACCTCTCTGGGCAACCTGTTCCAGCACCCTCACCGTAAAAAATTTCTTCCCTATATCTAGTCTAAACCTATCTTCTTTTAGTTTAAAACCATTACTCCTTGTCCTATTGTACCAGTCTCTGATAAAAAGATTGTCTCCATCTTTCTTATAGTCCCACTTTAAGTATTGAAAGTCCACTATAAGGTCTCCCCAGAGCCTTCTCTTCTTCAGGCTGAACAGCCTCAACACTCCCAGCCTTTCGTCATTACAGAGGAATTTGACCCCTCTGATCATTTTTGTGGTCTTCCCCTGGACTCCCTCCAACAGGTCCCTGTCTTTCCTGTGCTGAGGACTCCAGAGCTGGACACAGTACTCCAGGTGGGGTCTCACAAGAGTGGAGCAGAGGGGCAGAATCACCTCCCTTGAGTTGCTGGCCATGCTTCTTTTGATGCAGCCCTTGAACAACTCCATTAAAGTTCAAAGCTGCCCCAGCTTTGAACAGGAGGTTGAACCACATGGCTTCCAGATGTTCCTTTCAAACAATGGCACTTAAGACATAAGACTTAAGAAAACATAGTTCTCCCTTCCATATTTTCTTTGGGATGCCTGGACTGCTTGATATAAGTTTCAGCTCTGGTTCATGCATCTCGAATGACAGGTTTCCAGTTACACAATCTTGCTATCATCCTACAGAGTCACATCAACCTAAGCCTGCCTGATCTTTTCTACAGTGTCTTCTATCCTTAACAAGATCTTTCAACTGGTACCATGGAGCATGGTCCTTCACGTTGTCCCTGCCTTCAGCTGGTCAGTTTTTTAATTTCTTTTCCGCTAAATGAAATGAACCTCTACTTGTCTGAAACATGTGAGGCAGCAGGTATGGTGCCAACATTTCAGAAACTTCTCTCTTGACATCATGACTTTAATACATCCTATGTTCTCCTGGTAGGGAAACTTCTAGAGGAAAAAGGGAAGAGTGCACAACAGTGTAGAAGGACCAGCAAGCCTTGACCCAAGCTCTGCAAAAATAAAAATGGGCTCCTGTTGTAGTTGGGTGGTGAAGAGGGTTTGAGTTACTAAGGAAAGCAGTATCCAGTTTGTTTCTCACTTTCTAAATTTTTCTTTCCAAGTTACAAGAAAGGAGAACAGATGATGTTATTTCAGGTGGTCAGATATTGCTCCCTTGGGCATTCTACCCTAAAAAATTGTAGTTCTCTTCATACTCATAGATCACAGAGTCATGGAAAGATTTCATTTGGAAGGGACCTCTAAGATCCATCTGGTCCAAACTCCCACTCAGCAAGTCTAAAAAAAAAAAAACAACACCCAACTAAATTCGAGAATTTAAAATAATTTCAAAAGCTAGATCTTTAAAAGCTAAACTTTCAAAGCTAGATATGCCCAGTCCCTGTCCAGTCAAGTTCAAAAATTCTCCAAGGATGAACATGACATATCATCTCTGGGCAACTCTTCAAATATTTGACCACCCTACCTGTAAGTTACAACCATTGCATCCTGTCCTTTCACTGTATACCTCTGACAGTCTGACTTCATTGTCTCCATAGACCCTCTCTGCAGTGAGAGACTGCGACTGGATTCTCCTTGGCTTTCTCTTCTCCAGGCTGAACAAATCCAGTTGTCGCAGTCTGTAATTGTAAATAAAGTGTTCCAGCTCCTAACTATATTGGTGGCTCTCCCTTTGATCAGTTTTAGCATGTATGTGTTTTATGAGATTTTTTTAATTTATTTTTTTTACTAGGGAGCCTAAAGTTATATATAGTACTCTAGCTGCATACTCACAAATGATGGAGAGAAGAGAATCATCACCTCCTTCATCCTGTTAATTACACTCTTGCTGGGCTGGGCTGGTATGTGGTTAGCCTTTGCTACAAGTGCTCACCGCTCCTAATTGTTAAATCCTGTCTGTGGCTTTTTCCTCACTCTCTGATTTCCCACTTCTCCCTCTGAGAAAATGACATTAGACTCTGGACTTCTTCCTACCTCCTCTGTGTGCTTAAATAGCTGCTGAAGCTATTTGCAGCTGCAAACTTTGCTCTCAATGGTATACAGACACCTGGACTTTTAGCCTGTAATACCAAATAAGGAAAAGGCACAGAGCTGAAGTTAGTCTGCCTCTGAGATGAATCAAAGGTGTTCATTCATGTTTTAAAATATGGAAAGTTCAGAGGAGATTAAAATCATGGGAAGGCTAAATGGAAAAGAGGGGAACTACTAGGCTATATATTTACTTGGACTCATGCCCTCCTTACCTGTGGATGCAGACTCAGGCTGAGATGTGATGGGTGGGAAGAGAGTAGTTCTCCTCTGAGGGAGGAAAAGGAGGAGTCACACATGAATACAAATATCTAGCCTGAGAGCATCTGAAGTGTGACTCGTTCTCCCAGCCCCTCCTTCTTTCTGCTTTCTTTTTGCTTCTCCTTCACAAATCATTGAGCCTGTCTTTTACAAGGAACATGGTTACTGAACCACGAATGAGTTCTCAGATAATGCATATGAATACAGAGGATGAGGATGGATACTCTAATTTAAATCACCTGCCACAACATCCAACCAGACACTACATGTCCCTGAACATCAACCAAGGTACGACTGGCATTTCCTCTTTGAACTTTCTGCACTATGGTAGACAATGACAATAGGAAGATTCTCTCTTGTCTGGCTCAGTAAATAAGAAAAATATACTTATAGGTTTAATATTATAGGTTTAATGTACTATTTGTATTGTTTTGTCTGACAAAAACTAGCATGCATGAATGTGAAAATGCACGGAGTGGGACTCCTGCCATTACTTGCCCGAAATTTCTGTAGGAAAAGACTGGTGGCTTCAGGATCAAACTCTGGAATGTAGGAATCAGCTTTAACGTAGTCAGTTTTATTTATTGTTTATTTATTATTACAGGAAATGGCTACAGAGACAGGACAATCTGACTTTAATTGGAAAAAAAAAAATACATTTTGCCCTCTGGACCTCAGTTTTTCAGAAAATGTTTAAGATTCATAGCCTTTAAAGCCAGAAGGAATAAGGCATCACTGGGCCTAAATACATACATCATCTCATTTCCCTTTTCCAATCCCCATAGCTTCAGCTGGCCTAAACCATGTACTTCAAAAGGGCATCCAGTCTTGAGTAAAGTATTTCTTCCTCTGAAAGATCCATCATACTGCATCATCATAATCTTTTGGTGATGGTAACTAGGCTCCAGCCTGGAGCTGGCACAGAGCCTGAGCGCTGTGTGCCTTGACAGCAGGAAAGATTTGTGCAAAGCAAAAGATGACATGCAAGCAGTTCCTTCCTCTATTCTGACACATACTTCTAAGTCAAAGTATCACTACAATTTTTCATATTTGTCAAAGCGAATCCCCCAGCTGCTCTGTTTAAACCATCCCCAGTGTCTCCTTTCAAACAGACATCATTAACAGAGGCACCACATCTTCTCACCTTGCATTTGGGTTGATCCTTAAAATATAATTAAGCTGGAAGGGGAACATGCTCAAAAGTCACCACATGACTCTTCATGGAGGGGCGGAGGGCTGGAAGTGCTGCTGAACAGGGTGCCTGCCCTCAGATAAATTGCTGGTTTCTACCAGGGCACTCTATTCCCTTTGCTGTATGGTGGCCAGCTGTCTTCACTTTGTTTGTGCTGTGCCTGGCCCTCACCATAGGAGTGATAGTCCTAGGTAAGTGCTGTGTTTCTTTATTCTTACTAACACCTTGGGAATAACTGCATTGAAGAAAGGCGGGAAACTGACTGCAACAAGGACAGTCATAGCTCATCCTACCCACACATACTTTCCTCTCCTCCTAATTGCTTACAATGAACACTTTGCAGATTGGTGCATGTAAGGCTTTGAAGGAAGTAATTTTTTTAAGTCTGCACCTGAGCCCAGAGCAAGGATGTAGAAATCAAGATTATATATTTTGGAAAACGGATTCTGTCCTCATCTAATTTATTCGCAAATTCAAATTAAATTATAAAATTCTAACGCTGACTTCTTTCATAAATCAGCTTGATAGTTCTCATCTTCTCCTTTCGTTCAAGTCTCTCTACTGAAATAACAGTTCCTGTTTCACCCCTTTGATAAACCTTTCATATTTGTAGACTGCTGTCTTAAATTAGTTCATACTAGTATGTCAAAAAGGGATATACTTCTAGCACTCAGACCAATGAGGAAATCTCACCTTTTCTGTCTGTTTCACTCAGTCATTCTAGTTTACTCAAGATGTTCAAGAGAACTGAAGACTCTCATATTTATACTAGCTTTTATCATGTATGACCTGACTGTACCTATACTTTCTATCACAAAGCCTGGACAAAATCATTCTGAGCCATTGCTACCAACAGTCAGTATCTAAATACTGTTAAGAAAGATATATTAAAAAAAGTCCCACTTTCTTCAGAGAAGCTTTACCAGCCTTTAAAAATAAAAGCCTTTTCAACCTGAAGTATGTTTTAAATTTTTTTTTTCAAAGGCTCATAAAACTTCCTCTTAGATCAACAAGATTAGTTCAAGATAGTCCTTCCTAATAATATTTTTTGCATTGTATTAGTCCTTTATTAGGTTGCCAAGTGGCCTGCAATGGCACTGTGATTAAACTGCATTTAAATTTCAAAATCTTGTCATCCATCATTTTCTCATCTGCTAATTTCCTCACAATAGGTGACAGTATAGCACCACAGTTGCATGTTAGCAAGCTGTTGCAAAAAGTGAACTTGCAATGCATGATGAGGAATGTATCATGTAGTAGTATCCTCACAGCTGTTTTGTCTCATAAAGAATATTTTTATAAACTCCAGGTCTCAGAGGTTCTAAGGCACCTGAGGGACATAATGAAAACTTGCAAGAACTAAAGGAGAGATTGTGCTTGATCAATGATGCAAACGGTAAAAACAATAGTAAGTAGAAGTACTGCTCACACAGCCTGAAATCTGTGTTAGGCCTTATATCAGATAAAACAAGGGTGTTACATGCTATATCAAATTAAGTAATAAGGTGCTTTTGCAAAAACAGGAGTGTAGACATGACCCATAAAATGCCATATACATTTCAGCTCTGCATGACTTTGACTTTCCAGGCCTGTGGGTTTAGACTCCTCTACTCTTCCTTTGGCTGTTTTTTAAAGGACTGATGGTTTTTTTCTGTTCTAGGACATACGTGTTCACTCTGCCCTGGAAACTGGAAATGGAATGGAGGCGACACCTGTTTCTACTTTTCAGAAAAGGAGGCCACATGGCAGGAAAGTAAAAACTTTTGCTCCTCCAAGAATGCCACCCTTCTTATGCTGAAAACAAAAAACCAATTGGTATGATTCCAATCATACTGGTATTTCTTTGCATTGCTATCAGCTATTCAGAACTTCCCACCAGTTAGCAAGTATCTCTGGGTGTTACATAGAGAAGTTACCCCCAAGGACCAGGAGGTACTATCCCCAATAGAGGAACTGTCCCCAGGGTCTAAGGCAATGGAAACTGCAGAACATTCAACCACAAATGTGTAAAGATGAGGTAGCTAGCAACACGGGATATTATTCAGCCAAACAACGGACATGAGTGTCATGGATCCTGTGAAAGTCATAAGCAGTGACTGTTTCATGCAGGAAATGTCTTTGAATACTCTGAGATAGAGCTCTAAAAAGAATTGTTGCCTGGATCTCACATTTAGTAGAGACGCCAGACACAAAACATTTCTGTTTTTATGACAGAGAGAGATGTTGTCTCCTGGAAATTGTTACGAAAGCTTGATAAGGAGTTCAGAGACTCACCACCTCTTGTGGTTCTTTCTTGACCACCTCAACCGTAGTCCTTTAGGTACAGCAAAAAAAAAAATTACCCACAAGCTCCTTGGTGATAAAGTTTTTGCATTTTTTATAGACTAGCTTACCTCAAAAATCACAAAAACTATCTTATTGGGTTGGATTATCATATGGAGTTGATGGCTGGTCTTGGATAGATGGTGCAGAACTTTCTACAAAGAGAATGGACTGGTAAGTTTTCTGAAGTCAAAATGTTGATGGGTTTTAATCTCTTCTTGAACAATATTCTCCTTGTGCACTGAAGGAGGAGGAAACCAAAATCCCATTAATGGCAAAGCTTTAAGGCAGCCACAGGTGTGTTTGGAGTTAAAACACTCTTTTAGGTGTGAAGTCCCTGAGATACAGAAAGAGTCTCAGAAAACTGGAGCAGGAGTATGAGCAGGAGAAGAAGTGAACAAAGCAGTATACTCCCCAATAAAACCTACCTCCTGCAAATCCTGCCTGCACCTGTCTCTTCTGCTCAGCCATAATTACCCCAAATCCACCTCTCTCTTCCACCAACACTTTGAAACCTTTATTACACAAAAATTGTCAACATTAGGTGGAGAGAACCTGTTTACTTTTTCCATAATATTGCATAAGCTTACTTGGTGTATTTCTCCTTTACTAATCATCTAGGGGGAGGGGGGCAGGAATGGAATTCTCATTTTGTTCTGTGTAAAGTGATCACTGTAGGCAGTAATATAAGAGTCGTCTTCAGGGTCTGGAGAACCTCCCAGTGAAGATTCTTCAGCATGTCCTTGGAAACACATGCTCATTTTGCCTTGCAAACTCTTACACTTCCAACAGCTATTGGACATCAGGGAGAATGATCTGGCTGTATTGATACAACCACTGGTGAGGAACTAGTGCTGCTTTCTGCTTTGACAATGCCCCGTATGTACGTTTTCTCTTTTACATCACTGAGCTGAAGGCAGATAGGAGAATGGTCCTTCAGACTTGAATTATATGAGCCATTACATTCTTCGATATGAGCCATTACATTCTTCGATATTTTGTATAAACCTTAAAATGGTTAAGCAACTTTTGCAATAATGTATGATTGTCCAAAAGGGATTTACAGTGTTGGGGTTTTTTTTAAATTCATACATGATACATGAGAGTTTTTAACAAGACAGTATTCTGTTTGTTTGGTTGGTTTTTCCTAGGATTGATTTGTCCTATAAGGACAACTGTGCATACCTGTTTTATCGTGATTCAAGAGTTTACAGTGAGAATTGTTATAGGAAACATCTCTGGATTTGTGAGAAGACAGCAGTTCAGCTGATCTAGAAAAGATTACCAGCAGCAAAAGAACTGGAAGAGTATGAAGAAGATTTCGATGTTCAGATTTTTCAAAGAAGGAATGTAGAATAATGCTCACTACAAACTCAGAGCAGAGTCCCTCTTTTCCTGCATGAGTCATGTCTCACTTCTATTGTAAGGATATGCTAACCTCTGATAACTCTACGCTATTTCAGCACACTCACTTTCAGTTATTCTATATTCCTGTAAAACTCCAAGGCAAGCTCTCTTTACTAATCAAAGACATGTGGCTTCCTTGTTCACTGCTTGGCAGTGAAGCATTCTCATCCTCTTCTTGATTGGGTATAGTATATGAATTTTAGATATGTTCATATTTTACTACCAGATAATGATGCTTTTCCTTTATATGAAATAATACAACCTTCCAAGAATGCCCAAAAGTCAATGCTGAATGAGTGTTAATAAACAGTATGCTATAATCATAATCACCATTGCAATTATGCAGAAAGAATGGGAATAATGATTAGATTTTTCCAAGAACACCATCTGAGGGCCATTATTCTTCAGCTAATATAGAATATGTCCATACCTAGTGGATCTCATCATATGAAAGATAGATATGTTGCATGAATGGCTGTACATTGAATGAATGTGGCATGAACAACTGCACTGATAGCTGGAATGCTGTGACAGTATTCAGAAAAGTATTAATTCCTAAATGTGGAACTGAATTTTCCAATGTACTAGAAACAACATATTTTTTGTACTATATATTAATAGATTAATAGATGGATGATTTTCTAAATCTAAGTAACTGTATCTGGTGTATCTTGTTCAGGACCCTGAGGGGAGGGAGGTGGGTAAAAGCAAGCTCACAAACCTGGTATTCAGGAGAATAGACTGTGGCCTCTTCCAAGATCTGTTCAGAAGAGTCCTACGGGATAAGGCCCTGGAGGAAAGAGGGGCCAAGAAAGTTGGTTAATATTCAACGATTGCTTCCTCCAAGCTCAAGAGCAGTCCATCCAAACAAGTAGGAAATCAGGCAGGAATTTCAGGAGGTCTATGTGGGTCAACAGCTGATCAAACACAAATAGGAAGCATAAAGAGAGGGGAGGAAGCAGGGACAGGTAACCTGGAAGGAACACAGAGACACTGTTTGAGCACACAGGGATGAGGTTAGGAAAGCCAAAGCCCAACTGGGATTGAATCTGGTGAGGGGCGTCAAAGGCAACAAGGAGGACTTCCACAAGTACACAGGTGACAAAGGGAAGATTAGGGAGAACATGGGTCTGATGCTGAATGAGACAGAGGACCTGGTGACACGGGACCTGAGAAAGGCTGAGGTACTGAATGTTTTATTTGCCTCAGTCTTTACTAGCAAGACCAGCCTTCAGGAATCCCAGAGACCAGGAAAAAGTCTGAGACAATGAAAATTTATTCACAGCGAAAGAGGCTCAAGTCAGGGAATAGTTAAGCAAGCTGGACATAAGTGAGTCCATGGGCCCTGAGGGGAAGCATCCCTGTGCTGAGTGAGCTAGTAGATGTCATTGCATGGCAAGTCTCGATATTCTTTGATAGATCATAGCAACTGGGAGAAGTGCTCAAGGACTGGACGAAAGCAAATCATAGAATCATAGAATCATAGAATGGCCTAGGCTGGAAGGGACCTCAGAGATCATTTAATCCAACCTCCCTGTCATGGGCAGGGACGCCTCTCAACTAGATCAGGCAACACATGGGGACTGAACGAGGATGCTACTCCTATCTTCTGTAAGTGCAGGAAGGAGGACGCAGGAAACTATAGGTCGATCAGCCTCACTTAGATCCCTGGGTAGCTGATGAGGCAACTAATTCAGGAAACCATTTCCAGGCTCATGAAGGACAAGAAGGTGATTGGGAGTAGCCAGCATGGATTCACAGAGGGGTAGTAGTACTTGACCAATCTGATAACCTTTTATGATTAGATGATTGGCTTGGTAGATAAGGAGAGAATAGTGGATATTGTCTACCTAGACTTCACTTTCTCCCATAAGATTATCACAAGCTGTTGATGTACAGGCTGGATGAGCAGACAGTGAGGTGGATTGAAAGCTGGCTAACCAGATGGACCAAGAGGGTGGTGATTAGTGGCATGTCATTAGCAGTGTACCTCAGGGGTCAATACTAGATCTAAACTGGTTCTTCATCATCATTAATGATCTGGATGATAGAGCAGAGTTTGATAATGACATGAAACTGGGAGTAGTAGCAGATACACCAGAGGATTGTGCTGTCATCCAGAAGGACCTTAATAGGCTGGAGAAATGGTCTGACAGGAACCTCATTTAGTTCAATAAGGAGAAGGGCAAAGTCCTGCAACTGGAGAGGAACAACCCTATGCATGAGTAGATGTTGGATATGACCCAGCTGGAAAGAAGCTTTGCAGAGAAGGACCTGAGGGTCTCGGTCAACCCCAAGTTGCCAACAGTATGCCCTTGTGTTAAAGAAGGCTGATAGTAGCCTGGACTGCATTAGGAGGAGTGTTGCCAGTAGGCTGAGGGACATGATCTTTCCTCTCTGTTCAGCACTGCTGAGGTTGCAACTAGAGTGCTGTGTCCATTCCTGGGCTCTCCAGTAAAAGAGAGACATGGCCATACTGGAGAGGGTGCAATGAACCATCACAAAGATGATGAAAGGACTCGAACATCTTACCTGGAGGAAAGGCTGACAGAGCTGGAATTGTTTAGCCTGGGTTTGGAAGGGAATTTATTAGCGTATAAAAATTCCTGAAGGGAGGTTGCAAAGAGGACAAAACCAAGCTCTTTCCAGTGGTTCCCAGCAACAGGACCAAAACCAATGTGCACAAACTGAAACACAGGAAGTTCCACCTGGACATCAGAAAACACTTTTTTACTGTGATGGTGACAAAACACTGGTACTGGTTGCCCAGAGAGTTTGTGGAGTCTCCCTCCATGGAGATATTCAAAAGCATTCTGGACATAGTCCTGGACAACTGGTTCTAGATGGTCCTGCTTGAGCAAGACGGGTTGAGCAGATGAGTTTCAAAGGTCATAGAATCACAGAATGTTTGGGTTAGAAGAGACCTTTAAAAATCATCTAGTCCAATCCCCCCTGCAGTGCGCACAGACATGTTTCACTACTCCCGGTTGCACAAAGCAACCATCCAGCCTGGCCTTAAACACATGATTAACAAAGGGCTTAGAGGTTGGTGCCACCGACAGAACTTCAAGGTTTTTGACCAAAGGGAAGTTTTCATGGCACCAGGTCTACTGGCGACAGATGGAGTTCATCTGTCCCATAAGGTTCTTCATCATCATTGCACATGAGTTGGCGAGGCTCATAGACAAGGCTTTAAACTAGCTTTGAAGGAGGATGGGGATGTAATTGTCCTTGCCCGTGAGAATAGTTGCTGTAGCAGCCCAACACTCGTGGGGCAGTGTGTTGGCATCTTAGATAACCAGAAGGAGTACCACCCCTACTTGGCTCCCTCCCTGATATCTTTATACACCAATGCACACAGCATGGCCAATAAACAGGAGGAGCTAGAGGCCATTGTACAACAGGAAAGCTATGATATAGCAGCCATCACAGAAACCTGGTGGGGTGACAACCACAACTGGAGTGCTGCGATCGATGGATACCAACTTTTCAGAAGGGATAGGCAAGGAAGAAGAGGTGGTCGCATGGCCCTCTATGTTAGGGAGACATGAAAGTATACAAATTAATGAACATGATGATAGGGTTGAGTCCTTATGGGTAAGAACCAGGAGTAAGGCCAGCAAGAGTGACATCGTGGTGGGAATCTGTTACAGACCCCTCAACCAGGATGAAGAAGTAGCTGAATATTTTTGTAAGCAGTTGAGAGAGGTTTCACAATCGCTACCCCTTGTGCTCATAGGGGACTGCTGGAACGTCCAGATGTCTGCTGGAAATACAACACAGCAGATTCCTGACACAACTGGTGAGGGAACCAACAAGGGAAGGCGACCTCCTGGACCTGCTTCTTGTGAACAGGGAAGAACTTGTGGGGGAAGTAAAGGTTGGAGGGCGTCTAAGGCACAGTGATCATGAGATGATTGAGTTTTCAATCCTTGAAGAAACAAGGAGCGGAGTTAGTAAAACTGCCACCTTAGACTTCTGGAGGACAAACTTTGGCCTGTTCAGGAGACTGACAAAGTCCTTGGGAGGCCACTCTGAAGGACAGAGGAGTCCAGGAAGGCTGGACGTACTTCAGGAGGGAAGTCTTAAAGGCACAGGAGCAGGCTGTCCCCGTGTGCCAAAAAACAAGTCGATGGGAAAAGAGACCGGCCTGGCTAAACAGGGACCTTTGGCTGGACCTCAAGAACAAAAGGAGAGTCTATAGCCTTTGGCAGAAGAGACAGGTCTCTCATGAAGGCTATAGAGATTTAGTGAAGCCATGCAGGGAGAAAATCAGGAGAGCCAAAGCGCAGCTAAAACTCAACCTAGCTACAGCTGTTAATAAAGGATAATAAAAAGAAGTCCTGAAGCCCTGGCTAACTGAAGAGGTCCCAATGGAGTTGAAGGTAGCAAATGTAACACCCATCTACAAGAAAGGCAGACAGGAAGATCTGGGAAACTATAGACCCGTCAGCCTGACTTCAGCACCAGGGAAGGTCATGGAGCAGATCATCTCGAGTGCCATTACGTGCCATACAGAGGACAGCCAGGGAATCAAGCCCAGTCCGCCTGGGTTTATGAGAGGCAGGCCCTGCCTGACAAACATGTTCGCCTTCTATAACAGGATGATCCAACTATTGGACGAGGGAAAGGCTGTGGATATTGTCTACCTAGATTTCGAAAAGCCTTTGACATTTCCCCACAGAATTCTCATAGAAAAACTGTCTGCTCATGGCTTGGATGAGCATACGATCTGCTGGATAAAGCACTGTCTGGATGGACAGGCCCAAAGAGTGGTGGTCAATGGAGTTAAATCCAGCTGGTGTCCGGTCACAGGTGGTGGTCTTCAGGGCTCAGTGTTGGGACCATTTCTGTTTAACAACTTTATT